TTCGTTGGATTATAAGGGAGGAAATATTTTTCATTGTGATCGGAATACGGATAGTATATTAGATGTTTTTATATAAGTGGGAAATTTTATTATTTAAGTTATTAATTTTTTAACACACATCACACCATTTGTATAGTAACACGTATCATTTCGTGTTCTGGTCACATTGAAAAATCTCTTCTAAGGGAGGAAGAGGGTGGGAGAACATGAATTGAGATTCTCTTCAGGTCTTTTGTGTCTGGAGCTAAGGACTTGAAAATTCAGATTGTTTAAGAGAAAGAAAGAGATATTGACTGTTCAATAGCTGATTTTGTGTGAAGTAGGTCAATAAAATATGTTAATTGAAATCACAAAATTTAAATAATGTTCAGAATTTCCCCATCCATCTGTTTCGGACTCAGTGATTCAGAAAAAATCTCAATCCAGAGAACATAGAACCCGAGTGAGGAAGACCACCAACTATTTTAATTTGGAAACTTTTTTTTTTTTTTCAAATGTAAAAGTTATTAAGTCCACAAACTTTTGGATGGTCAAAAGGCAAAAGGGAGAGCCAAATGTCTTATAAGCTAATTATATTATTCTTAGACACAAGTTGCGTTGTGGCTGTATGAGAATATTTTTGCTCACTACTTCGGTAATGCTCAATTGCTAACTATTTTGTTTATTATTATTTGATGAGTTAAAATTTTGAGATTTATGTTCAAAATTTGTATAGTATTATACACAAATTTCAAAATTTAAAATCATCCGATAATAATAAATATGGTAATAAATATTACAACCAATTGAGTGTGATTGGCGAAAATGCACTTGTAGTTGTATAGCGCACCTTCAATCCCTTTTTTTTTTTAATTATTACCTATACTAAGTGACTTGTTAGTGCCGATAAAGAGCAGATATTCTACACTTTTACACCCGAGCATAAATTTTATATTGTGTACTTTTTTTTAATAAAAAATAAGAGTTGTTGGTGAGAATTTCATCTTCACAAAAAACCAACAATGTTGGTTACACTTACATGTACTATGCTCAAATGGATATTTTATGGGGTATTGTTATCCACACTTCTATTTTTACCTTTTAGTGTTAGCTTTTATCTTTTAATATTCTTCAATTCATTTAAAATTAACGACCAAAAATTAAAAGAGTTTACAAAATATAAAAATAATGTGTAAATAGTATCGTCCCATTTTATAATGCTATACAAGGACAAATGCATTCCACAAGTCTATTTTATGTACAATAATATAAGCATTTGGATTATTTTTTTCTCATGCCCACCTTCATGTGCACATTGGACAATAGAATAATAAGTAGTAAATTATTTAATTTACAAAGTGCGTCACACACTTCGTCATGTTTAGGACCACAAGAAAGGAATCGATTTTTGAGAGACAAAGACGTATTTGTTTTTATCAAAAGTAATATTAGGGAGACAAAATATTTATACGAAATTTTTAAAATTATACTATGTAGTTGTTGATGATTATAATTATTTATAATTGTTAATTTAGCGTACTTATTTTTTATTAATAATCTATCATATAATTTGCAAATTTAGTGAATAGTTGATTTATCTAGCATTATTTTTTTTTTTTCAAATTTCCAATAACAGCATGCATGTATTGCTTAAATACTTATTGATTTTGGCAAAATTAGGTAAAAGCACTCCAATTATACATCTTATTAATTAAACATTTGTGGGTTTTCAACTTTTTATTAAAACGCTTTGTATTTTGATTAAGGTGCTTCCGTCTTTATCCATGTCATTTGTTTTAATTTCCAACTCATCATTTTAAGTAAATTTTAAAGAAAACAAAAAAAAATTGAAAATAAGAGTTATTTATATTGAAACTGATGAGATCTAAAATCCTAAATTATTGGAAAGAAAATAAGTCTGAAATTTTTGATTGAGTCATTATCCCAATAATTAATTGTTAAGAATTTGATATAATTAATTTTCAATACAAAGTTTTAATATGAAAATTTCTCTTTTTTTAGAGGGTCATAACATACCATTAGATTGTACGTACCAAAGTTAAGTTAACACATTATACCAATACCATGGTAAATACTAAAACAAGAATAACATAACGTGACACACCTCGACCGAAATCAGGGCGTGCTGGCCGTCACGTGGAAGTGACGTAGCCATGTGCACGTGCGGAAGCTAATAAAAAGTAATATAAAAGTACGAATAATTAAAAACTAGCATACAAAGTAGTAAAAACAAGTGCTAGCATAAGTGAGACGCTAAGTTCAGAGCAATAAGTCTACAATAGTCCAAATTAAAATGATGCGACAACAGTGCACCCGAAGGTGGCCCTACATTGGTGAGAGTCTGTCAGAAATGCCGGGAAACCCTCTGGGAAACCACTGAACCTGCTAAGCAACTAGAACCTGGAGGGGCGCAAAACAAAAGCGTGAGTGGGCAAAAACAAAGCTTTTCAAAAACAATATTCTAACCCCTCGCCGTAAAACCTGTATACTTCCCAGAAAATAAACATATGCTTGTATATATAGATATGCCAATCATGCTCCATAATATGCCATGACGAAACCTCAAAATAGAATGCAAGTGCTCAAGTATAATCACATCAAGGTATATATAGTCTGACAACCGGAGTCACCTAAAGTGACATGTACGGCTGTATCTAGAGTTCAAATCTCAAACTCAGTAACTGAACCTGCCCACGAGTCGGAACCACCTAAAGTGGTATGTACGACAGGCCTGGGTGTAATACATATAAACGCTCTAGTGCTACGATCACGTAAAGGCTGTGCGAATAATCGCGAGTCACCTACGAGTCGGAATCACCTAAAGTGGTCTGTACGACAGGACTGTGCACCTAACTTGGATCCAAGCCGAGCGTATGGTGTGGGAGGTGAACAACACGTGAAGGACTGTGCCCTACTCTGGGTGGGAGCACTAACACCGGGGTGCAGGTTATGAGCTCTCTAAGCATCTCTAATCCCTCCTGAATATAAACACGAATAACACTTACCTGTGCCTCCACAACACCAATTATGCATACGTATGTATATACGATTAATAAAGCCACTAATGATGCATAAAGAACAATAATATAACACATGCATATAACTAATAACATTTATATCAATTATGGGAAAATAATAGTATATAGGTATATACGGAAAACCAAAAGCCCACTCACTGGTATGTGGAAGGGTCGTAACCCCCTACCTCGAGTGACCACGCTTGTCCTCGGGATACGTCTCACCTATATGCGAAAATACTATAAAAACGTTAATTTTAAAGCACATAACCTTCCTTTCGTAATAATTTCTCATACATTGCTCAAAATGGACAATTGAATATACCAATGTGCTCTACACAACCTCAGGATCACACCCATATTTTTAGAAAAATTTTCCACCGCCGCACACGCCCCCATGCGCCAGCCACGCGCAGGCACGTGCCTGGCACGCTGACGGCGTCAACTGACGCCGTTAGGAATATTCCGTCAGTTTTGACAGATTCTGTTAACGGCATCAGGAATATTCCGTCACCTTCTCCGGCGAGACTCCGGTGCCGTCGCCGGCGCCGGAAACTGGAAATATCTTCTAACTTCGTTTTCTCTCTCATTTCTCAACCATTTTCCACGATTCTTGCACCAAATTGAAGCCTAGAACTAGTAGAACAACGATATAACAATTTTAAGGCCTAAAAATCACGAGATCTTACATGTCCACACAATCCAAAACCGGCCAACTTCAAACCAGGCGATTCCGACGTCAAAACTCTTCGAACGAAGCACTCCGAGGCTCATTGGGACCTCACCAAGTCACCTACGAGCTTCAAAATCCCAAAAACGTGCTAGATTACTTTTGCATGAATAGTACCCCCAACTGGTTTCGTGAAAACAACGTGAAAACAGTGGTTTTCTTACCTGAAAATGGCACGACTGGACTCCTCCCAGCCTCACGAGCTCGAAGGTGGTCTTGGTTCCCTCGATCTGCTAAGGTTTGAGTGTGTTTGTGTGTGTCCGTACGTTTTCAAAAGGAAGAGGAAGGAAAGAGGACTCGGGAGAGAGAGAGAGAGACAGGGAAAGGGACAGAGAGACAGCGAGGGTGAGAGTGTGTGTGGGTGGCCCAACACATGCCAACACACCATCAAACAACCAATAAATGTAAACGAAACGAACTAGGGGCAAGGTAGTCATTTCACACGCACGTCTTCGATATTTTCGGGACGGGATGTCACATAACGTACCAAAATTAATAATTTGTAATGTACCAAAATATTAATACGTAAACATAACATGTTGAAAAAAATTTAAACTTAGGCAGAAAAAAAAACCAAATAACGTAAACATAACTAAAATTTATCTAAATTACAACATGTAACGAAAAAGACTTAACATTATGTTTGGATGAGGAAAATAAACATGGAATTTTGGTAAAAGTTAGAATTTATAAATTAACAGGCACCAATTCTCTTGTTTTAATTCATAAACATAAAAATTTAGAATTTCGGCATGGAAAAAAAACTTGGAACTTGGGACCTCCAAATCCCAAGTTCAAATTCCATGTAAATAGGTGTCATTTCTCAATTTTTATGATTGAGAGTTTAAAAATAACAAATTCTGTATTCAATTTCATTGTTTTTTTAGGTTAACCAAACAAGAAAATTTACAAATTCTAAAAAATAAAATCTCGTCATTTTAATTTCCGTCGTTTTTAAATTCCTTAGCAATCTTAAATTTTTTCACCCAAACATAATATAACTTTCCAGTGTAAAGTCACACCACGTGACGACATTTGATTGCGCCTTCATGCTTAAATGCCGTCGTTTCACCAGGGTCAGATCTTTATCCTTCTCCTCAAAACGTCACCCACATGCCCACATGCAAAAACCCAGCCTTACTGAAAACGACAACACTTCCCACAAAAATAAAAATATATAAATATAAATAAAAAATACCAAAAATTATATAGAATGGAAGTCCCGAGCCCCGACACGCGTCCCACCCAGCATCACTCCTCACTACTCAAACCAGCTGCGACGCATCAAAGGCTCGGGTGCCGCACGTGGGCTTGGACCGGCAACTCGAGGTCGGAGACCGACAACCAGCCGGTGGCCGGTCGCCCCCACCCACAAAAGGTACGTTCTTTACAAATCCGACGGTCCAGATTCAACACTGTCACCCAATTGAAATGTGAGCGGAAGGAGGAGCTACTGAGAAGTTATTATATAGCTAGACCTCTTCCTCCCTTCGTCCCTGTCTTACTCTCTATCCAAACAAGCAAGAATTTTGAGCTCTGCTTCTGAAAGTTCAGGCCTTTTTTCCTGCTGGGGTTCTAAAGAGTTCGAGAAAGTTAACTTCTTTGTTGGTTTTGGTGGAATTTGGGTCTGAAATTTTGAGCTGAAAGGTTGGAGTAATGGAGAGGGATTTTCTGGGTCTGAGCTCAAACAGTGGTGGTGCGACTCTGAAGGAAGAACCCAATAAAGAAACCAAGAATTCAGGTTTGCTCTCAGGTCTTTTTTATTAGTTATTAATTGTATTTTATGGAGTTTGATTTTCTTGTGGATGAATTTCTCTGTTTGTAATTAGTATTTTGAGCTTGTGTTGAATCTGTTTGGTTGCATGTGGAGCTTGGAACCTCAGTTAAGTCTAATTTGCTTTAATCCCACTTTCCTGATCAAAAGAATCCACCTTGCTGACTGAGTAAAGATATTTTTGGGGAGGGGATTTGATTTTCTCGTGGATGAATTTCTCTGTTTGTAATTAGTATTTTGAGCTTGTGTTGAATCTGTTTGGTTGCATGTGGAGCTTGGAACCTCAGTTAAGTCTAATTTGCGGTTTAGTTTCTTAATCCCACTTTCCTGTTCAAAAGCATCCACCTTGCTGACTGGGTAAAGATATTTTTGGGGGAGGGGGATTTGATTTTTTGAACTCATGACCTCGGATGCATAGGTATACGCTCTTAATTACTTAAGTTACAAGTCTGTCGCAGTAAAGATAAATATCGATTTAACTCAATTACAGTGTTTTTATAGGTTTAAGGTTGATTTATGCATGCATACTGTTGAGAGTGAATCAACATAAGGGAAATGAGGGACCTTGCATGTGGCTGTAAGTAGCTGGATTACTCTCCATATTTACCAATTGGTTTTATGGTGGAACCTCAACTTTCTTCATGTATCATAAAGAGATTGTTCCATATGTGAAGCCTAATGGCCACACGTGCTCCAGTCATCCAATTTGTGTTGTCCACAAATTAGGCTTGAAAATTTGCCACACGTGAGGGGCATGCTGAAAGCAAATCCCACATCAGTAAAAAAGAAAAGAGGACCTTGCATGTGTTTATGAATAGTTGGGCTACTCCCCATATTGCCAATTGGTTTTGTGGTGAAACTTCATCTTTCTTCACATATACCATACTTGAGCTTAGTAAAGTTGGCCAAAGTAATATGCTCTTCCCTATGCACCCAAGTTTGAATGCCCTCTCCGTAGTTTAAAGAATTCAATGTAGAATATCTCTTGAATAAAAAATAAAAAAAAGGATTTATACGTAAATTGGTAAATTGGGGTTGCTGACTGTAACTCTGTGACTTATGAGTCAGTCAGTCAGTCTTATGGAAACGTTTGGGTTTGCTTGCTGATGACTTGGTTACAAGAACACGGTGTAGTTGTCTTTAGTTTTACACTCCTTGCACTTAAAATAATGTGCCCCTTGTTTTCTTCCATATTTTAGTTTGTTGGGTTAGGCAGGATAATTTTTTTTTTTTTTTTCCGCTAACGTGCGTATGAGATGTCATGGATTAAAGCAACGTGTCACGTTCACTTTCATAGTTAAAGAATTTCTGCATTGATCAAGGCTGGCAGGTAGTACAACATTTGTATTAAAAAACCTTATGCAAATGTGAAACATTTATATTAAGTTTATGATTGATGAATTTTATAATGCATTGTATTTGAATAATTCCTTTTGATAACATGGAACTTGTGGTCTTCTGAATTATATATATATTGTTCTTAAATCTGCTCTTGTGAATAGATTCTGCCTCTCTGGATCGTACCAAGAATTATAATAAAGTACGTATTAAATATACATACGCGATATAAAGTATACTAATAATAATAATACTTTATAGTGTATGGCTTCTTATCACAAAGTGTGCTCCGCAAATGTTCCAAAAGGAGGATTATAAAATATTGCAGGAGTTTGCTAGAACTTTGAGGTCTTTTGTAGGAGCTTGCTAATTCTTTGAGGTCATTGGTTGTTTTCTGCTTCCTCATCTATTTAGAAAATAACGTAAGTTAACAATTTGCACGTTACATATGGCTGTATTCGTATTATCGTTATGGTAATCTCTTTGCTTAAAGATTCTTTGTGTTAAGAATTTATGCATCTCAGTTAGACAGCTGTGATGAACACACTTGTTGAGATTTGTTTTCGATCTTGGGTATAATTTACTGTAACTACATTCCGAGGAAGAAATGTTTCTTGTTGGCATCTATTTACAGAGCCATATAACCTCAAACTTCCCATATTGCTTATTTGTGGGGTACTTTAAGCGATCATCAGCACAGTGAAGGAATTTATTTGTTCAAACTATTTGCCCGACACTCCATTTTTATTGATTTTGCAGCGGTGCCAAGAAGTTCAGGGATGCAGTGGTCATTTTCAAACAAGGTTTCTGCACCTCCGCAATTCCTGTCTTTCAAGGCTCCTCAAGAAGATGGGCCAAGAAAAACTGCTCATGATAATTCATCTGCATTTACTACTATATCAACTGCGGATGCTTTTCACTCCAGCCGGAAGTTGTTCTCTGGTGGGATTCAGGTATTTCTTCTCTTACTTTCTGAATCTTTTTCAACATCGCCTCAGGTATTTAGGATTTGGGAACAATATTCTTACTTATCAGTTTACTGAAGAAGCACAAATGAAGTTTGAATCATTGTTTATTTAAAGTTACTTTAATGTAGGCTCATTTTTGCACAAATTTTGTAGAAAAATTTCGTTTTTGATAAGCAAGCTGGAAACCACTGTGCAACGACAGTATATCCTATGCCTCAATTTGATGCACATTCAGTTCATCAATCACAAGATGTAACGATATACCCGCTAGTCAGCCAACACAACCAAAGGATTCCGATTACTTTGAGTTCTCCAGTTCTTCAGTCCCATGCTCCTGTTGGGCATACTGGTTCTACCATAAAACTGCAACCACTTGGAGGAGTTCCGGTTCTGGCCCCTGTATCTGCTCTTCCTTCTACAACCTCCGTAGTTGGTACCACTGATCTCAGGTACTTTTAACACAGACCATATTTAGACCACATTTCTGCTTGTAAGCAAATGCAATTGTACAACGTATATTGAATCATAACTAGTTGGAAATTCTAGATGCTAAGTTGAATTACTTTTGCAGGAATGCATCCAATTCTTCTGGGGCGCCTGCTCAGTTAACCATCTTTTATGCTGGTTCTGTGAACGTTTATAATGATATATCTCCAGAGAAGGTATTGTATATTTGAATATTTGATTCTTAAGTTTGCACATAAATTAGGTTCTTTGTTTTTAATCTCTTTATTTCTCTATTTAGGCCCAGGCTATTATGTTGCTGGCTGGAAATGGATCATCTCCAACTCATTGTAAGGCAACATCCGTAACTCAAGTGCATGCACCGATACCTAGGCCTTCACTAGGAGGCGACGGTTGTTTCAGGAACCAGTCCTATATTACATCTTCAGTCTCTGCACTTCCAAGTCCTCTTTCTGCAACTTCATACGTGAGTTCTAACTCTGGAGGAGCATTTAATAGCACCAATGAAATAGCTATAGTGAAACCAGTAGGAACTTCAGCGTCTCCTGTTGACCGCTCAGAGCCTTCTACAGAAGTCAGTTCAGTGGGATCGCCTATGACAAACCTGATTCCAGCAGGTATAATTTGTGTGCTTTCTTTTATGTATGCTAGTGTTACTGTTATACTTTGTGATAAACAATGTCTTCTGTTCTTGTTTTTTCATTGAATTTGTGAGCATGAATAACATCTCTGTTCCCGTGTTTGCAGTACCTGTGCCTCAATCACGTAAAGCATCCTTGGCCCGGTTTTTTGAGAAGCGTAAGGAGAGGTAAATTTCAACGGTCACTTTTCCTCTCTAGTACGTGCTTACATTAACATATACAGAAACGAATTTGTAGAACAAAGCAAAAAGTCCCACATCGGCCATCTCACAAACAAATCACAACTTATATCAAATGGTTCCGCTTCTATTGCATCGAGGCTTTTTGCATAAAAACCCTACACGTATAGATTGAAGTTAATTGCCTTTGACGTGAATTTGATACAATCATTAACACTTTGCTTATCGATTCTTTTATCGCATCCAGACTTGGGTACCAAGTTTTATCAACTGACATAGAACTTTGTGTGTTTAGGATGATGAGCACAGCGCCATACAGTGTCGGTAGAAAATCTCCAGACTGCAGCACTCCCGGATCGGAAGGTGTGAGTTTCTCGCTCAACTCTTCGAGTTCTTGTCCTCCCCAGTCTATAAATTAGCGCTTACGCGGTGGGGTGCGGTCGAAATGGGAAGAAACAACAAAAGCTTCCAATTGCTTCGGAGATGTTGGCATAGATCATTGTTTTAACAGTTGCTTGTGTGCTGGTAGTTGTAAGATCAATTTTTTGACCTGAAGGATTAGATAATATAGATATATGGTTAAAGTTTTATGTTTTTTACTTTTCACTATGCTGTAAAAATGTATTGTTTTACCTTCCTGCGTTGTAAGGGCAAAATCTAGAGGCCATGTTTTTGTATTGATATGTTTATGTTTGGACAATTTGACATGAATGGAATGAAAGCAAACAGATTTTGCCTTCTGAGAATGCAAATTACAATTAGAGGATAAATGAATGTGTTTGACTTGGAATTCAAGCGGTTAGAAGTTACTTCGACGCACAGCTCTCTTTGTCTTAGTGCTTCTTATTAAAATGAAAATTAAAAGTCATGGCAATTAGCACCAAAAAGAAAGAAAAAAATGCAATGATTACATGACATAATTGGCAAACTTGTTAGGATTAAGTTTTAAGCACATGAACAAAAGTAGTGTACATGAAATAGGTCAATTGATCAGAGTAATGTGCTACTATACATGTCCCCTTGCACTTTAGTCAATCTCAAATTTCGAAAGTGACTTCCGCATGCCTTCTTGTCTCCTCCAACTCTTTATTTTTTTAAAAAAATATTTGGTTACTCAAGAATAAGTAGGAAGACATACTTAAAACTCTTTGTGTTCGAATCACATAGTTTTATATTATGAGTAGAACTGTTTATATTATGAGTCCTCTGTAAAGATCATTTCTGCAAAAAAAAAAAAAAAAAAAAAAACTAAGGTCGTTTAGTCAATTTATTGTAGCAAATATAGAGACGATTCTTAATACTTTTACCAATTTCATTCATCTGATTTTATACATTTCGATAACCAAAAGACATTAGTTTTAATTAATTTTTTACAAAAATAGTATTTGTAAAATGATTTATAATATGAACAGTTTCGTAAAACAACTTATTATTCTTTTCTTTTTTTTTTCTTTTTAAATTGCACTTACTTTTGGATTTTGCCCTAAAAAGAAGGGCCGGAACGCTGTAAAAATCTGAGGGTTGAGTAACGGCAAAGTCCATCACTACTAGTTTCCAAAAAAAAAAATAAATGTCCATCACTACTAACACGGTGCGTTCTCACCGAATCCCAATTTCAAAAATTCCTTCCACAAGCTTCAAGCGCTTTCGGCTTTCGACTTTCGACTTTTTTGAAAAGTGATTCTTCTGATTCGCGACTGAGACAGACACGGAAAGAGAGAGAACAATGGATGCTGCAAAGTTACGAGAGCTGAAGGAGTTCATCAGCAAGTGCAAGTCAAACCCTTCAATTATTCACACCCCTTCTCTCGCCTTCTTCAAGTCCTATCTCCAAAGGTATCAACTTTGCTATCTTTGTATACGATTGTATATATTGATTGTGTATGCTTGTATGTGATTGGAATCTAATTCTTTGTTTTTGGCATGTGGGTTTATTTGTTTGCAGCCTCGGTGCTCGGATTCCGCCGGTTCCGGAAATGGTGAGAGCTCTTATTTCTTCACAGTAAAGCTTCAATCTTTGTGCAAATTTTAGTTTTTTGTACTTTGTATTGATGTATCACATGTTTATATGCATATGGGAGTTATAGACTTGCATAATTAGCGTTTTGGGAATGCTGTGCTTCTGATCAGTCAAGATTCCAACTTTTCCTCGATTTGAAATTGTCTAGGAAATTTTCACTTTCTCAGAATTTCAAATTTCAGTAGGTTTTGTAAGTGGCAGGAATTTCGGATTTCCCCATGTTGTTTTATAACAGTTTGGCACAGTCACGCGCACGCGCACAAGCACGCATGAGTAAACTTCCTAAGTACTTTGGTTGCATCGTGTTGTGTTTCGAGGAATTCTATTATGACCATGAGAAACCATGGATGTTTAAAGCCGTTGCGTTGCTAAGATTTGAATGAAAGCAATAGTGATTGGCAATTCAATGGCTCCGAACATCCATACGCTTGCTCACTTTTCTCATGCATATAGGAGAATTTCTTGTTCTGGTCCTCTTCAGTGTTATTTATTTCTAAGAATTATACCAGACAAAGAAATAACGGGATAACCCATAATGCTACGTTGACGAATTCCCCAAAACTTTGAGCATTCTTTTTATTGTTTGTGTTTGTGTTTGTGTGGTTGTATTATATTTTGCTTGATATTTTTGTTGTGTTGGTTCTGGTAGCAGGATAAAGATGACGGTGACATGTCAGACACGAAACAACATTTTGATGTCAAACGTGAACCATCTGGGGATAATGACGATCACATTGTTGAATCTGATATCGAGTTGGATGTTACTGATGTTGTGGAGCCTGATAACGATCCTCCACAGAAGGTAAGGGTTATAACACCCTCGCCTATTATGCTTAATTTTTAACCTCTCTAAATGATCCTTCCTTTAAAAGTTGTACCGGGTCTATTTTTCATGTCCAGATGGGAGATCCGTCAATTGAAGTTACAGAAGAAATGCAGGATGCTGCACAAACAGAAAAATCAAAAGCTATTGATGCTATCTCTGAAGGCATGGCATCTGCTTGTTCTGAATCTTTAATTAGCATTTTAGTTGACATTTCTCAGCTTGTTTCACTGTCTTTTAATTGGTTGTTTATCCTTTTCAGGTAAGCTGGACGAAGCCATAGATCATATAACAGAAGCCATAGTGTTGAACCCAGCTTCAGCTATACTAAAAGCAACCAGAGGTAAATTGATTACTATTTTTTCTAAATTCAATTTTTGCTTTTATTTAATTGTGCCTACATTTTTTCATGTTTTGGTCGCCTTTTTTCATATGTATCGTTCCCTTAGAAACCTCGTATCCTTGCTTTCAGCTAGTGTCTTTGTCAAACTGAATAAACCAAATGCGGCAATTCGTGATGCTAATGCAGCTTTAGAGGTTGGTTGATGACCCTCACTGTACTCGTTCTTGTATCCACTGTACAAGAAGTTTGAATTTTTTACAGTAGTGAATATTGACAAGTGATCTCTATGTATATGCTTTTTCCAGATTAACCCTGACTCTGCAAAAGGATATAAAATGAGAGGAATGGCTAAGGCCATGTTGGGTCAATGGGAAGAGGCAGCGAGTGATCTGCATGTAGCATCAAAGTTAGATCATGATGAGGAGATTGGTTCGGTGCTTAAAAAGGTGATTTTCCTCATTCTAGAAGAAGTTAACGAAACTGTTCCTTTACAATTTCATTTTTATTTCAGGTTGAACCTAATGTTCACAAAATTGAAGAGCATCACAGAAAGTATGAACGCTTGCGTAAAGAAAGGGAGTCAAAAAGAGCTGAACAGGAGAGAAAGCAGCAAGCTGAAGCTCGAGTGAGTATTGTACTAGAGTTAATAATGCTTTTGTTAAGAAATATCACATCGTTTTTGGTAGATGTGGCGGTATTTGTTTGCTCATTCATTTTATGCATTGTAAGGCCTTGTGGAGGCAGTAGTCATTTTCCCTTAATTCCTTGTGTCACTAAATAATGACCTCATATAAGGGACAGATATGGCTGACCCCATGATTTGAGACAAAGACAAAGACGATGGCAAAATAATAGAGAACTTTCATACGAAACTAAACTACAATTCTTTCAATTTCATGTAGGAACGGGATGCGTCGTCTGCTCTTAAGGATGGTATGACATTTGGTTTGTTTTATTCGTATGCCATTTTGTATTAAAATAATGCCGGTATTTTAAAGCTTCATGTCGACTTCATAACACCATTTGCAAGATATCATCTATTTAATTTCGATTCTATCATTTTTTGGTTTTGACAGGAGAAGTAATTGGTATACACTCAGCCAGAGAATTAGAGACAAAGTTGAATGCTGCTTCAAAGACATCGCGCCTTGCAATCCTCTACTTCACAGCAACATGGTGTGGTCCTTGCCGCTTCATATCTCCTTTGTATACAAGCTTAGCTGGAAAGTACAAAAAAGTCGTTTTTTTGAAAGTTGACATCGATGAGGCAAGAGATGTGGCTGCAAACTGGAATATCAGCAGTGTTCCGGCCTTTTTCTTTGTGAAAAACGGTAAGGAGGTTGACAAGATGGTGGGGGCAGACAAAACTGCACTAGAAGGGAAGATTGCACAACATGCAGGGTCAATCTGAGCAAATCCTGGTGCGATTCTGTTGGCCTTTGTAATGGTACTTGCTTAAGTCATAAACTGAAAGAGGTTTCCATCTGGGAAGATTGTTATATTCCGACAAAGTTGTGTCGTAAAATTACTAATTTATGTGTGTGTACTGGAAATAAAATGTTACTTTCTCGCCCAGTCGGATCTTTTACTGGAGACTACCAATATGAAATGATCTGTATTTCCTCTACTTCTCTTTATGTATGTGTCCAGACATCGTCAAGAATCGAAACGTAAGCGTTATTGTTTACTATATAGTCTTTCAAACAAAAAATGTGGAAAGATAACTTGTTTTCATGATCTATAAACGAGTACCGGCTATCATCTCCGAGAATCAATTTCGTAGTGGCGGCAAAGGTAGCGGCATACAAGGAGTCTTCATTTTCTCTGGTTCTTGGAATAGAATCTGAGGACCATGTAGAATAAGATTCGGTAGAGAACACCCCAAGCTAGCAAGATTAAAACATTGTACCAGACGTTATCTCTGCTGATATCCATCGTGGAGAGTACGTCTTGTCCGATAATCGCACAGTTCTTAGCCACTAATGGGGATGTTAAGTGCAGGTTACTGATCTTCAAATCTCCTAGAGGTCCGGGGGAAAGATCTGCCGGCGTTCCATGGTAGCAACGTATTCCTTTGAATTCATTTGATAGCATTGCCTCAAATGGGTACTTGATTGCAGAGATGTAATGCACCCACCTCCAGTATTCTGGTATCTTCGAGCGCTTCAAGAAAAATCCGCAAGTCAGAAAGAAAAGAGCTGTGGTAGCTATCACAACAGCATACCCTGTGATGTAGCTCGGCACAAGGGCGCTCACAAGCATCACGTAAGCGTTGGTGGTGATGAGTGAGGCATAGAGGATGATCCAGAAGTAGAAAACATTGCTTTTGAGGCGAAGAATGTATTTGGTAATGGCAGCAAATGTGTAACCTTGGATGGCAAAGAACGGGAGATAAACAATGAGGGAAGAGATGACGTAGGAAGAAGCACGATAAGCATTGTGAGAAGTTTCCCTGATGAAAATGAACCTTTCTTGGATGAAAGTCGGGACAGCGTCATTGGACGAAAAGAAAACCAGGCAGACTGCAAAGATGTAGAAGTTGAGAAGACGGTTTATGTCTTTGAAAGTATCACCACCCAAGTTTCGGAAAAGGGAAGACAGAATTAGTGCCATGACTGCCAACACAATCTCACGCGAGAGGAAGAGTTCAGGAGTGCGAACCACATTGAGCGCTGTGCGCCACGAGAGGACTGCAACCTCACGGAGCCACGGGTTTGCATATTTAGGCCCGAGGTCAGGCTCATCAAGCTCGTCTTCTATTTCAAATTCTTCGTAAGAAGGTGCATTGGAGGAGTTAATGGAAGGGGTGAAGAGTGCAGGGGTATTAGTACTAGTGCGTCTTGGTGGCTGCAGTATGAGTTGAGGTGTTGGATACTGGTTTGAAACTTGATACTTCATACCCGAGACTGAGAGTGGCGCCAGTCCAGGTGTCGTTCCTGGAGTTGTAACTGGAGTCCATGATGGTGGGCGACGAGGGGTTCGTTTGACTCCATGGTATATCCAGACAGGGAAGTCCTTGTAGAACTGCGACGCTAGACGAGGGTTATACGCACCACTGCTCAGATGATGCTTTGGTGTCATATGAACTGATTTCCTTTCAAGGGAGTTGTCAAAATCCTCAACATCCTCATCAGCATCCTTGTAATCAAACCGACCAGATTGGCCTGGTCCAGGTGTCCTGTTTCCCATGGAATAGGCTTGACTACGGAGGCTGATTGCGTGCTTGGATGCAGGGGTCTTATTGTAAGGAGTTCTCCTTGGTGTTTTTAAAACTGGGGTTCTGCCCACCTGATCAGGTTTGATCCCGTCACGTTGGTACAACACCAACGGGTCTAGTCCCACGGTTGATTCATCATATTCTTTAATCACATCCAGGAGATACTCGACGCCATTCTCACCATCCGGAACTGGCCTTCCAAATCCAGAAAGGTGAGCAGACAGACCGTGCGGGCTTCCCAAATATATCAGTCTTCCTCTGCAACCATATTATTAGATAGTTTGGTTAACAAGCATCATGCATGTCAAATTATATGTCTGTGTTTGCAACCCTTAAATCCTTAATTGACCAAGAGGCCTTGATACTGGACATTTGAGCAAAATTTTACCTTGCAAGGATTGTCATGCGGTCCAAGAGCATTTGAATACGATATGAAGGTTGATGTATGGTCATCATCACGATGCTACCACCTCGAGCAATCTCCTTTACCTTCTCCACGACACTGAAAGCGCTTGTGGAGTCAAGACCAGAAGTTGGTTCATCAAGAAACAGCAGTGAAGGTTTGTGGATGATGTCAATTCCAATTGAGACCCTCCTCCTTTCTCCTCCCGACACTCCTCTCCTCCCTTCATCTCCGATGTAAGTATGTGTTGCACTCTGCACATATAACCTCATCAGAATCAAGATATGTAATTTGTGCAGTAAGTTCACACACTTGTGCTATAGAGACTTGGAATTTACCTGCAAGCCGAGTTGTTCAAGGAGTTCATAGACTCTCTTTCTCTTTTCATTCCTCGAAATGGAGGGAGGAAGCCTAACCTCAGCTGCAAACATGAACGTCTCGAAAACAGTCAGCATAGGAAAGAGCTGGTCGTCCTGCATCACGTAAGACGACACCATCTTCATGTAGCTTGTAGTAACCTGAAAATATGAATCCACTTTATATATGCAATCATTGTCTTTTGGTTTTCGAAAATATAAGAAAGACTGGACGTCCTGCACAGAGAAAAACTTATATAGATCTCTACCGTTCTTCCATCAATTCTAACAGAGCCTTCCAAACTCCCTTGTGCAATCCGTCCCGCCAAGGCATCAAGAAATGTGGATTTCCCAGCACCACTAGGTCCCATGATGGCCATGATCTCACCCCTCACTGCCTGGCCAGAGATGTCATTGAGAAGATACGCTTCTTTCTCGATCCAAACCCCGTCTTTTTTCAGCTTCTTCATTACACTATACGAAAGGTTATTGAACTCAAGTCCATGGCCTGGAATCATCTTCATGGGTCGAGGAGGGCCAGAGACCTTCGTAGCAACTGATTGGTCCATGTCCAACAGACTCTCGAGGCTTCTGTTGATGACATTCCGCCCCATCTTCGCCATTTTCAACCGATGATGCTCAGTTCGGTCTCAGGCCTCAAGAAGTTTTTGAGGACTGAGGATTGAAGTATGAAATGGTATAAAAGAAGGTAGAGGGCAGGTGAAATGTGGACAAAAGGTGACGGTAAAAATCAAACTAACTTTAGTGTTTGAAGCTTGTGAGCAATTAGACGGCAAGAATTATGGGAATCTGTTTTTCGCGTGTACCAGTCGCCTTCGATTCTCCTTTGGTTTGTCAGTAAATAGCTTCGATATTTCCGAACGATGTTCTGTTCTTGTTTCATTTGTGCATATGAGACAACTTCCTCTTCACTGGCGATTTGAAGAATACTTGGCAGAATTAATGTTTTCCAAACCTGTCGTTTTTGTTTTAGAGTAAACGAAAACATAGTTTACGGACCCTAGACATAGTCAAGTTGGCTAGAGCAAAGAACAAGCGTCAGCGCCCTATGCACTTAAGTCCGAACCGCCCTTACTGTAGTCGGTCGAACAAAAGAAGAAGAACGAAACTCATAGTTTGATGGCAGATTTCCAATCCTGTCATTGTTAAACGAAAACACAGTTTGATCCTGCCAAACTCAAGAACTCAATATCAGCTTGTTTGTTCTAATATGATTTGTAACATGATTAAGGGGCTCATTTCAAAAGTGCTTTCTGATAACCAGAAGGGCTTTTTGCGACCTTTGACAGAAGAAAAGTTAAAAAGAGTTTTATGGGTTATGGAAGCACTTGAATTTTACTTGGCAAGTTGTTGTGCTTATAGCAAAAGCGCTTATAAGCAGAAATGTAAAGAGTTAACAGACCATTCATCTAGGTGCTAACCCTACATGGTTATGTTATTCCCGAATGGACTTTGTTTACTCTGATTTTACATCTATAATGTTATTGATGCACGCATAAGCTACTGTTTTTTATTTGATGCAGTCGTTGTCTCGTAGCTTTGGGTTGGTGGGTTTTCTTAGAACAGCAAAATAGACGGTTTAGATTATCGTACAACATTACAAGATAAGAAAGAAAGCCAAAAAAGTAAAACGAGAAGAGTTAAATGAGACTGTTGCTAGTCGAGAAAAAAAGTTAAAAGCGTTGGCCCTTGCAATCAACCAGCTGCGTTATTAATAATTCTTAAACTCTGCCGGCATTAATGTGGGGACAAAAACAGATGCTTCATATTTCTTGGAGAATGTTTTGTTTAATGTTCCAAAGTTTTTTCCTTGTTTTCTTCAGTTTTGGCTCCCAAATTAGTAAGACAAGTTTGAAGCTTTAATGATATAATTCAGAAGTTTGAAGCAGAACTTCCATTCCGATCACGTTGAGTTGAGGCATGCAATAGCACTCTCGGCATTGGCACGGTTCAAGCTTACCCTTGTGTTGATTCATGATTCGACTCCATGGTTTGCTTGAGCCGTGCCAATATCCGGGCATGCCAAACTCGAACTTCTTATACAAACACTCATCTCCAACTGCAAAGCACGCTAACGCTGTATCAATTACGAGTTTATAGTAGCCTTCATGTGATTAGTGATAATCAGTTAGCAAGTTAATGCAACATCAAATATTTACTTCAACCTACTTCACAACGTATGCAATCTTGTGATTCTGTTCATTTTCTAGGTACTCGTTTTCTAAATATTGCATATATATTCAATTTCCTCCAATATTTATTACAAGACCTTGATCTAAAATCTGATAAAGGGGTTAGCCTAACTTATAGCATTGTCTCAACTAGTTACACAAGTAAAGGTGTTCAGCAGCTCTCTCACTTCTTTCACCTTCCTGCATGAATTTCGCGTCATGAACCGCCTATCTTTTTAGATTGATTGTCGAAAAAATGTTCTATACATTGAGATATTTGGCTGTTATATCTTTGATTAGAATCCATTAACTAAAAATTTAACGGCTAAAATTTCTGTTGTATAAGATACACCAAAACATTTTGTGAAAATGCCACAAACGAGCTAGTTCCAATCATGCCTCGATGTTTCGTATGGGTTTGGGTTAACTCATAGATTTGGTTCAACCAATTGTACAAGTAAAGGGGTTGGAGCAGCTCAATGTTTCAAGTTAATTTTCATACCAAAGCCCTTTTTTGTATTGTAAACTTTGCCTTATGATTGCTCAAACATGACAAATAAAATTGATTGAGCAACAAGTAATCAAGTAATCAAGTAACTTTGTAGGGTTACCAACTTATCATAATGTCATGACTGCCCAACTTTCTTACTTTGATTTCATCCAATGAGGTTAGCAATATTCGATAAGTTTTTCAGCGTGACTGTCACACCGTCACGTAGTATTATCATTTTATTCATGTTATAACACTTGGATATGTTTGTTGATATTGTACTCTATGACATCAACCATGTCCTTCACCGTTATTATAACTCGTTAATTAGTAACACGACGTAGTAGTTTAACCGCCACAATGGATTTCACCAGAAAAAAAAAAACTTCCATGGAAAATAAAGTAAAAACCATATAACAAATAATCTCTGGATCAGAAGAAACCTCTAACTGCCAAAGAAAACGGTTACTCAATGGGAGTAACAAAACCCGTCACAAAAAACCAAACCCACAAATAGAAGTTTTTAGCGGCTGTCTAAATCACATTTGACTCATTAATCTCTATATAAAGTTTCACCAAACAAGTCTCACAAACCAAACCATTTGAACCAACAAAAACACACACAAACTCTCAAAAAAAAAATGGCTTCGATCTCAAAACACTTGCTTCTCTTCTCGTTTCTGTCCCTTTTCGAGTTGTTCGGATTCTCCCAAGGCCGGCAGCTTACTGCATTGCCGGATCAGAAGGCCGCTGCTGGTGGTACGCAATGCCTGCAGAAACTGATTCCTTGTCAGGCGTATTTGAAGGCGCCGGAGAAGGCTCCCTCGACGTGCTGCTCGCCGCTCAAGAAGTTGGTTTCGGATGATGCCGAGTGCCTTTGCACCCTCTTCAGCAACAAGGACATATTGAGCAGCCTTAACGTCACGCAGGCTGATGCCTTGAAGCTTTCCAAGGCTTGTGGTGCCAATGCTGACATTTCAAAATGCAAAAAGGGTAAACTGAAACTTGAGATTTCTTTCTTTTTTAATAAAATCAAAGTAAATTTAAACATTTTGGATTTTGTTTGTGGGATTCATATGTTTGTTTCCATGGATTATCGATGCCTTCTTTCTTTTTTGCTTGTTTGGGAGAAAAAGAAAGGGAAGATGTTAATTTTTATCTGAAGCTCTGAAATCAAAACAAAATCTTAGGTGTAACCGGATGTATATATCATGGTGCCCTTTTTTTTCTCTGGCAAGCATACTCCCGATTGCACCTATTGTTTCTCCAAATGATTTCATGGTATTTTAGTCTGTGTTAGTGGATGCTAATTAACAGATAATTCAATCTTTATGTATGATTGTTTATCTTAATTTATTGTTTCCTTCCATCACAGATGCAGCATCACCAGGCACTTCACCTTCTAGCAATAGTAAGTTCCTACCACTTTTTCTTGCATAAACATGAATCATGTCGTGTCTCGCCTAGATTAGCATCATTGCTCGATCAAATGACGGCAAAAACATGCTGGATTTTCGAAGCGTCACGGTTAGATTAGTGTCTTTAGGTCATCTCTAATCGAATGAGGGTTAAGGGGTTCTCTTTAGTAAACAATGCTAGGTTATATTTTATACCATCTCCAACCGATGATGCCAAAGGTTTATAGGTCAAATATAGCCATTTGACAAAAAAACCCATCTTCAATCGAGGAGGCCAAAGGATCATAGGTCAAACATAATTTATTATTTTAATTAAATTAATATGGTTAATTAAATTAAACTACCATATTAAAATAAAGTTTTTGAACATATTTTGAGGGTCACTTGTCACCAAATTAATAAGCCTCCAGATTTCTTATCTATATAATCTCAATAATTTTTTGGATAAGATTTCGAGTGACATGGGTTGCTAAATTGAGTAACTCTCTAAATTTCTTATGTTTATGTAATCTCAATAATTTTTTGGATAGAATTTTAAGTGTCACGTGTTGAGATGTAATTGGTTGTGCAAATTTTAGATAGGATTCTTATCTACGTGTCACTTCTTATCTTCAACTTTTAATGTTGTAGGAATGGTGTAGGTATTTATAGGAAAAAAATTAGAATTTTTTTTTTAATTCGTCTAAAAAAAATTCAAATTCCAACGGTAACTTGATGGCAGCATGACGTTAGCTAGCTGGCGTCATGCTGACACCATGTAGCTGTTGCCATTCAAATGGGCTAAGCTGGAGGGCTAGCAAAATGTCAAGTTTGACATTTTGGAATTCGAGGGTTGGCAAAATGTCGCTTGACATTCTGGTACTAAAGAACTGGGCTGGCTGGAAATGACCAGCCCGCTAGCTTGATTTAAGGGTTTGGGCCCAGTGGAGCCCACAAACTCCCCTAGTTCTCTATTGGAGATGGTTTTCGTATCTTACCGAACTATTTTTTCCCTTATAACCCTTTAGCGGGTTGGTTGGAGATGACCTTACTAATTGTATATTGTACATGTTTCTTTTTGTGCCAGGTTCTTCCTCATTCAACTCTCCCGGTGGTACAGAGAGTGCAGCTTACGCACCGTCCGCGCTCGGCGGATCGGGCTTTGCTGCCGTCTTCTTGGCCTTTATCATTGCAGCATTTTAGGGTTGTCAATTTAGTTAATCATCAGACATAAGCTATATCATCAGATTAATGATTATTGTAATCTAATGACAATGCTATTTCTTTTCGACTTCTATAGATCTTCTTCTTGCTGTAACTTCGTAGTATGCTCCATAACATCCTATACGCCGAGTTTTTTTAACTATCATCTTGGTAGATTTATGTCCGCGGACATGTGAGTTAAGCCGATCAATAAGAGTAATGTACTCGTTTCATTGCATTCGAATTCAAATCCGCTTATCTTTAAAATAAAAGTAGTTTAGAATATCGTATTGTCAAACAAAAGAGAAGTGCAAAACCCCAAACACAAGAATTTATGTTATAAAATCAAACAAAATCGTGATTTGTCCAAACCCACAAACCCAAATGCAAAAAGAAGCGATTTTAAGGACACAAAATTCTGAAAAACTGATTAAACATCATAAAAAAAAAAAAATCAAAACTTGATTCATACAGAGAGGGAAAAAAAAGAACAAGAAATTCGACATGAAAAACGAAAAATCGACTGTCGACCATCTGACGCCCTCCTCTCATCCTTTATCCGGACTTGAGACGGGCAGCGAGTAAAAATTGGCGGAGAATTATAAATTTATGAGCGTCTGAATGCAAGAGTCGCAAAGGGAGAAGCGACACCTGCAAGCATAGCTGCTCAAGAAATCTCGGCAACTAAAAGGACTGTCTGCATATTTTATCAGTCCTCCGATTTGGAGGACCAAACGCGCCAGTAACGAATTGCCTTTTTTTCTAAAAAAAACATTTGTACTTGTACTGAAATCGAATTTAACAAAAACCCAAATGAAAAATAATCAAGAACAGCGAGTGAAACCAGAAGATGATAAGAAGGAGATGAAGCTGCAGAAGGGAATGAAAGGTTTTATATAGAGGCGTGTGGAGTGTGGCTGTTTTAAAACCCTAGTTGGGATCTTCAAGTTGGGCCATTCAAACGATCTTTTGTGGGCTTGATTTGGGTTCGAATTTTGGACCCATTAATTTAGTAGAACTATCGTACTGTCACATGGTGTAATTATAATGCATGTTATAACATGAGAGGTGCTATTTACATCTTAATTTTTACCTCTCATATATGGCTCTTAATTTTCAGCCGTTGAATCAAATGTATTAAAGAATATCAAAGAACATAAATTAACAAGGGACATATGCGAGTTAAAAATAAGTGTGTAAATAACTGGATACACATAAATTCAAGTTGGTTATCTAGCTAGTCAAGCTATCACATCCAAAAATTTCTCGTTAAGCCGCTATGTTATACTATCACGTGACAGTGTAACACTTGTATTCAAAAATTATTCACGAAATAACTAGATACACACTAGAACATGAAAAAAAATTAGTAACAGGTGACGGTGCGAGTCATGTGATTCTCGCACTGCAAATCTCTCTTTGGACCTTGAATTTGGGCCATTTAACCAGTCTTTTTGGGCTTCACTTGGGTTTGAAATTGGATTTGGACCCGTTTAAACCACAATGATGTTTGGAAGTTCTTTCTCGCAGTTCATAAAAGTTCAAAACTTCAGAGCAGGCAGAGGCATTAAAACCTTAAGCCCTTCTCCTCGATCGCAGCAAGAAACACAGCCAAATGCTAGATTCGTCGACATGGCAGCAAAAACCTCCATTGCCAAAACCATAACCAAGCTTTATTATTCTAGCGGGTCCCATTCTTCTCACCGCAAACATCTGGCCCCACTCTCACTCTCTTCTTCCTTCTCCAGCTCCTCCCCTGCCGATGCTTCCTCAGCAGCCGAGTCTCTATCAACCATCTCTTCACAATCTCCAGGTGGGCCTTATGTGTTGTTCGTGTGTTTTCTGCTTCTGGGGTTTTCTTAATTTGCTCGAAATATTCTAAAGATCGATGCTTTGATTTGTTTTGTGTAGAGAGGGAAAGGTCGAGATTGTCGAGATGGTTGCTGTTTCTTCCTGGAGCTATCACTTTTGGCCTTGGGACTTGGCAGATTATCAGAAGGCAAGAGAAGGTGTTGATTTTCTCTGAATATCTTTTATTTCCTGCTTAAACAATTAACAGATTTAGCAAGTTTGGAGACTGATTGTTTTTGTAATACACATAAATATTGAAATGTATTTCAGGATTAACATTTTGTTTGACAAACATTTATTGCAAAACCGAGCGTATGGCGTTCTAGGATTCATACAGCCGACCCAACTTAGTGGGATATGGTTTTGTTGTTGTAAACATTTCATACATTAAAATTATTTGAAGTCGAAAGATTTCATAGGTTTTATATATGTGTCCAATCACTAGAGGTTCTGTATGTTTTAGTTAAGCTGAACATTTTGTTCTACGAATTATCAATATATGAAGAAAATTGATACTTAGCTTCAATTAGACCCAAAAAGTGGAATCTGGGATCTGGTTAGGGAATTAGTTCTAATGTTGCATGTAGTGGAAACTTTCAAGAATTGGTTCCTTGTGCACTTCACATTCAAGCTTAGAATTGCATTAAAATACGATCACTATTGACGAGTGTGTTCTTGGTACAGATAAAAATGTTAGATTATAGACGGAAGAGGTTGGAATTGGAACCTTTAAACTTGAGCAATGCCTCTCCGTCAAGTCAAGAATTGGATCAGTTGGAGTTTAGGAGGGTGAAATGCAAAGGTTATTTTGATGAGAAAAGGTCAATCTACGTGGGCCCTCGTTCAAGAAGCATTTCCGGCGTGACTGAAAACGGTTACTATATCATCACACCTCTTATCCCGATCCCTGAAAAACCGGAGAGGTAAATGTTTTGATGTTTCATATGCTTAATGAACTGTGATTATATAATGAAACTGCTACATATCGTGTTACTTTTTGTCTTTCTTTAAGTGCTTAAAGGGCCTCTAGCATTAACAGGGTGTTAAATTACATGGAAACATTCAGAAGTTCTTCCTGCTTATTGTTACAGTTTCTCTTATACTACGGAGTGAAAGAAATGTCAGTTAAGTTGCTAGGAATCTGAGTGATTTAATACAACGTCAAACTCTGTCTCCAATAGAACATCCTTGGGTTGAAACAAATAGTTTCTTGTTCCGTTATGTGGATATGGTTTTAAGTTCTAGCCTTATATAGAGAACTTGAAGATTCCACTAGGCCTCGCTTAATCTTATGTTTCGATACTATATTTATTTGTCATCGTGACTTTCAAGCTAATTGCAACGCTTATCTGTTTGCTGATGATGATATTAAATGTAAATCTTCCAGTGTGCAGCCACCAATTTTGGTCAACAGAGGATGGGTACCCCGAAGTTGGAAAGATGAGGCTTCAAAAGTTTCAAAAGATGGTGAACAACCTTCTGATATAAACCGCTCGTCTGTCCAAGAGACTGAAAGAAGGTCTTGGTGGAGGTTGTGGAGCAAGAAGCCCGAAGTTGTTGAGGTTGTTTGTTTTCATCGTATCAATCACCGTTTGATGGGGAGAACATTAAAAAACTAATCTTAATTTGTGCCACTTACAGGATAAGAACCCTGCTGTTGCTCCTGTTGAAGTCGTTGGAGTAGTTCGAGGGAGTGAAAAGCCTAGCATATTTGTTCCACCAAATGATCCAAACTCCGGTCAATGGTTCTACGTTGATGTTCCTGCAATTGCTCGTAAGTGTGGACTTCCTGAGGATACTGTTTACATTGAAGACGCAAATGAAAATGTGAATCCAAGTAACCCTTACCCGCTTCCAAAGGATGTCAGTACCTTGATTCGGAGTTCTGTCATGCCTCAAGACCATCTGAATTATACTTTGACATGGTATGGTTTTGTTTCTTCATATCATCATATCATGCATCAAGACTCGAAAAATATGAACCGCTGTGGCATTGTTCTCTTACATTTGTTTTCTCTTGGTTAGGTATTCCCTCTCTGCAGCAGTTACATTCATGGCTTTCATGAGACTAAAACCGAAAAAGAGCCGGAGATAGCAGATACGCAAGAGATTCAGGTAGCCATACGAGAGAATTTGATGCCCCGTAACATTGAGCCGTCGAGTCAATTTTGTTTATCGAACTGTTAGATTCTTGATGATTGGAAACTGGAAAACATTTCCGGTTGGATATTGGCTGTTTTTATCAGTAAACCGCTCGTTCCAAGCTGAATTTTCGCAGCCAAGGACAATAATGTTTTCGCTGTTCGTGCTGCCCGCGTAGCGAAGATAGCAGCGTTACGAGGGAGGGCCGATGTAAAATAATGATCAGAATTCTTTAGTACCTTTCTGTTTGGAGGTATTCTTTGTTAACTTCGTTCAATCATACTTTCGCATTGTTGTGTTTAGTTCCGGTTTCTTTTGCGTTCCTTGCAACTTTCTCACACATCTTTTCTCCCCCTACACGGTTTATTCCGGCCTTTCAATTGAATAAAACGAAAGAAAAATCAAGCTACAGAAATAAACGGGGATATGCAGAAATGGAAAAGTGTGCGTAAATCATATCCCTTTTGATCTTTCTATTTTGGTGAAGATGTCGCTTGCCCTTCACCTTGCAACACTTGGCGTGACCACCGTGGTGACTTACAATCCCGATTGCGCGATGATGGAGTGTTGCAAGGTAAGGGCATTTAACATCCTCGCTTGAAACCAAATTTGTGTACAAACTGAGACAATTGGCAAAACTGTCGATTTTCTTTCCTGTATGTTGTACACTGTACAGAATTGTACATAAAAATAAAAAATAAAAAAAAGAACTGCTAAAACTAAGAAAACAAATCAAAGAATTCCGGCCGACGAACACTAACGCCGGCAGGCAAACAAACTACGTGGGTAAAGAAACAAATTTAAAAGAATGAAATGAATATGGAAACTAACAAAACCGCGAGGAAGGGATTCATTCACGATATACTTCTTACAAGCAAAGGGGAAGCGGTCATCCCTTCATGGATTGCCTTCAACAACGCCACAAACTTGAACGGACTCTCTTCGGAAAACCACTGGAGCTTCCAAGTCATGGAGCCTGGAGCAATCTTTTTATCATTTATACTTGAGTCTGAACTGCCCGCTCCGGCTGAGCCTGGAGGGCAGAACTCCGACATTGCACACGCAACAGCTATGGTTACACACCGACTTTCTCTGACATCAACAACCTAAATGACAACAAACGAGACATCAACCCCTAGCTCTAACTTAAATGTTACTGAATCCAGGTACGTTTAGATGGAATTTTAAGTGAAAAGCTAAAAATCAGTTTGAGGCATTACCAACTCAGATATGTCGGCAATAGAGCAACACAAGTCAAGTGAAAAATATGGGGGCAAAGACGCATCCATGGATGAAGAGCTGAACTGCATAAGGTCTTCAAAGCACAAAAATACGTGCCCTCCAGCCACAAATAATGATCTTGAAAACCATGATTCACCTGTCATATACGAGATAAGAATGTTACCGAGCATGAAATTTCTGTTTCTTTTTTCTTTATCAGAATAACTTGGAAAAAGGCCATCCCCGCTTTGAAAATTTGACTCCAAAGTGACGTTCGAAGAATATAATAGTGAAACCTCATTATTGACCATCATCAAACTTCATGATACAAAACCAACAGTAGCGTAACAAAAGCTAACTATGGGATGTTCTCGACATGTTTACCAAAATGATTATTATAAACTTGGTGCCTTTGATTTTAACTAACTCAATTCATGACAAGATTACAATCGACGGCGATATATATGAAAACTGATGACCTAAGCATACCTTCATTATAACTACACCAAAACTGTACCATAGAATACTGGAATATGCTCACTTTTGAACCTCCACATATTTGTTTCTCAAATAACTCCACCTGAACCTGCTCCAAACTGTCATTTAAATTCCAAAACCCGTCTATCACAACAAGGAAATCAAAATATTCGCATCGGTTATCAAATAAATAATAGACATCTGAAGGGGAAAAACGATAACTACCTTCTTAAGCAAAGTTCTCCATTTGGGGCAAAAGAATCGATAACTTTTAAAGTAGAAAGTAACTGTCTTGATTTTTCAATGCTTCTAGTTTTAAACAGGTAAGTCGCTCTGCCTCCTACATACACCCTAAGCCAACAGGAAACAACACCGTTATTACGTTGCAATTATACATATTTGCAATATGTAGTAAGTACCATTAAGCACTAACCTCACAACCTGAAGCCCTATACCAACTACAACTTCTCTGATATCCTCAACCCTGTGACGACCCTGTAACTTTAAGATGGTGCCTGCAAACAACGATCACACTGAAAATCAGCAGTCATAAATCTAATCAAAGAGAAGAACAAATTGCCCAAGTAATAATTGTCAAAGAGGAAAACTTTATGAAATATGTCAGTCGCAAGGACTGCGTAACCTAACCTGACCCATCTCCTGCAATACCAATGGGCAGTACATAAAGCTTGTCTTCACTACTAAGTACAACAGCAACTTCTCTGCATGTAAAATAAAATACATAAACATATAAAAAATGCAGAGAAGTCTGAAACCTGACCGGACATAAGCACAAATATTAGAATGGACAGGAAAACATTGTTAGAGACAATACGATTCAAGCATAAAAAGACAAATTAAAAAAATGTTCACCTTTCTCGGGAAAGAAAATCCCGCTCAAGTATACAACAGCAACACAAATACTGCCTACATATCTCGTGATTTCGTGAATCTGCGATATTTGTATTGAAATAATTCTCAATAAATTCATCACTTCCTGAAGATAAGATTTCGGTTATTGAGGCACTGCTTCTATTTGCCAACATCTGTTTCTTATCAACAACTTCTTGAAAATCACTCCCATAGAAATATTTATTCTCTTGCTTATTTTCGATTTGCCCTACATGATTATCTAGATTGCCATTTGATTTTGGTGACAGTTCTGCTTGCCTAATCATGTTATCATCTTTTACTAGAGCGATAACTCTTCTTTTAGTCCTTTGTCTTCCTTTCCTCCTCTCCGGCAAATCACCCTCTTCATTAATGCAATTAGTAATTTCAACATCATGAGCATCAGCAGGAATGTCACTGGCACGTCCGCCGACCGAACATCTGTCAACCTCATGTTTTATGTCATAATACTTGAAACAATTTTTAGATGGGTATTCTTCGGCACTCTCATTCAACAAGTTCTCAGGAACCGACTGCCTAGATTCACAATTTTCATCTTCACTTGAGCTGGTATTACTATCAGATGATGCCACTGAATAAGACTCTGCGGATAACTGTAAAATTTCCTCCTCTAAGTTATGTCGACGATGAAGAATGTCCTTTTGATAATGGGGCGGTGATCCTGGGTTAGCAGATGATGAATAAGACTCTGAAATATCATCAATGACAGACAATGCAGACATACTCAAATTTTGGACCATCCTATGACCTCCATCAGTGGTGAATGTCTGAGTATGGGAACTTTTAGCCTCTGAACTGAAAGTACTTGTCCCTTCATACGAATATGCTTTTAAGTTCTCCCCAATATCTCTACTATCCATGCCAACTGGGCTGACCCTACCAGCATTCCTCACTGATTCTAAAACATTTGTACTACTCTCGTCTCCTGATGCTTGAACATATGTTGATTTTTCACCTAGCTGCCTCCAACTTGCCTTGTTTTTTATATAGTTTTCCTTCTCAAGATGCAATCTAGCCCTGCTATATCTACTGATGTCTGCATCATTCTCAGAAGCACGATCTAACCATTCCTTGAACTCCCGCAACCAAAGAACGGAGCGCTCTTTCTTCATTAGCTCAACTCTAGTCATCAAATCAACAATTTCAGCTTCATCGTCAGATATGACACCATCCTCTCTGCTTTGAATCTCATTGTCACAAGACACAGAGTCCTGGTCAGAACATGTGTTCTCCTCTTCATTAACAATTGATGCAAGACGAGATACCTTTTTCTGCAAAACAGCAAGGATGCAAGATTTTATGACTGTCTAGTTTATAATGGAGTAGACGATATATATAGCAACCAGCCCCCAATACCACGGTTTTAGCATGAATTTATACCAATACTTGTGAACAATAATAACCTACCCTTTTTTTGTTAATAATTGAATCTCCTTTATCATCGCACTTTGCAGGAGAATAAAACCCAAAGCTGGCAGGTCGCTTGTGCCTGCTAGCAATTATAAGTTGCCTCTTCCAAAATTCTCTGGTGCTGATCGCCTTATCATCTAACTTCAACTAATCAGCCATACGACAGATCAAAAGACAAAAGTTAGAAAAACAAAATTAGTAAATGACATGAAAAATACGTAATGAATGCTTCAAAATTTTATATTTAAGATCTATGTACTTCAGGTCCAGAAGAACGAAGAAAATAATCTGAAATGAATAAAATGATGAATCTTAACTTACTTTTTCGGGATTAGTGACATAGCTGAATGCTTGTGACCGATACCAACTGGCACAACATAATGGATTCCCTTCCAACCACAAGTTTTCAAGAGATCGAAGTCCAGAAAGGTATTCTAACTCTGAAAACTTGGAAAGAATATTGTAGGAAATATCAAGCCCTTCCAGTGACTTCAAATTCTCAATCCCACGCAATGTAGTTATAGCATTGTTCCTCAAAACAAGTTTAAGTAAACGGCACGTGACCTGCATGGTCCAACAACATCGGAGTATGGGTCCAAATCTATTTCCTAAACAGAAAATTTACAGCAATAGAACACGAACTACAGAAAAAGCACTTATTAGTACTTTTATCTATGTAATATGCGCCAAAATAAACAATCTTGACAAAATGTTAACCAAAAAGATCAAATCTTGTTCAATCTTAGGGACTATAAAAATGTACTCTTCTCGGAAAAATTTATGCATACAACTTCTCAAAGCAATCAAGTGTGGACTAAAACACAAACCTGACCGAATGACGAAATCGTTCTGAGCTGATTGAAACCGAGGTCTAGGTGCTTCAATTTGACACACTTGCGAAGATTATCAACCTTTGCAAACTTGTTCCGGCTAAGGTCGAGAGTTTCGACAGCAGGAAGAAGTTGCAAAGACTCATCCATGAGAACCAAGCCATTACAAGCACACGAAACGAATGACAGGCGGTTCCACTGCGGCGAGTCCTTAATCTCTGCAATTCTACTCGCAAACACATGCCGCAGAGCATCCTAACATCATTTTCCCAACAATTTAATCAAATCAAGGGCCTAATTAACCAAATTAAGAAGTTAAAATGCTGATTAAGTAGCTTAGAAGAAAAGCAGATTTTAATCAAAACATTGAAAAGCAGAGCAAAATGCAGGAAAACTCACAGTAGAATTATGGCAAATGATCTTCTCCAAGGTGTGCCGCAGCTCGAGCAAACCTTTCGCGGCGGAGGTGGACAAATCGCATCCTCGAAGCTCCAAAACCTTAAGCCTCCCAAACGGCCAAAACGACAGCGGCGTAGGGTCCCTGGCGGAAGGCGGCAGCACCGAAACGACCTTGAGGGATGTCAAGAGCCTGAGAATCCTCCTCAGCTGCTCGAGAGCGCGGTGGTCTCCAAGGTCGGAGACGTAGGCGCGGAGGTAATCGACGGGAGCGCCGGCGAGGAGGCTCTCGAGCTCGTGCAAGGCCTCGAGCCGGGAGTTGACGTAGTGGAACCCGGCCGGGTTCAGCTTCAGCACTAGGCTCCCGTCGATCAACGAACCGGCCTGCTGCTCCACGAAGTGGACTAGCTTCTCCAGGTAGCGATCTCCGGTGACAACCGCCATCGAAATCGGCGACTTCTCCAGGTCAATCTCGGAATTTCACGACGCGGAATCGCATGTCTGTGATACCGCTAGCTAAATTGTCAATTGGCACGACTCCAGACAGAAAAAGAGGGAGTTTTTAGAGAGAGAAGCGGAGGAGCCACGGCGGTGGCCGGAAGAGGAGAGAGAGAAAGAGACGTTTTCAGTATTCGAGAGAAGAACATGAAGACATTAATGATTGGGAATACGAGAGTGATCTCTCGATTTTTGGTGGAAACTGGAAAGGATTTGGGATTTGGTAAGTCTGAGAAATTCGGGAGTAGGCTTTAATGAATTGGAATTAATTCCCAAAATTGAAGGCGTAATAATTTGGAGACACCTGGCCTACATGCACACAGCAGTTATGGGACCCGCCACGCGTTTTGTTGCTGTTCGTTCGTTCGGGTGGCGCGGTTGCAGATCCCGCCACCGTCGTGCCAGTCTCCCGGGTTTTGATTGTCTCCGTTATTTTCCGCTAGACCGGGTTTTCTTTTTTCTAATCTACACCACATATTAACAAAATTCAATTTATCAAATAAAAAAATGAAAAGACCAAATTATTCCGGTTAGCGAAACTAACACTATGTTTAGAAGAAAAAATTTAAGATTACTAAGAAATTTTAAAATAACAGAAATTAAAATGATGAGATTTTATTTTCTATAATTTGTGAATTTTCTTGTTTAGTAAACCTAGAAGAACAATGGAATTGAATACGGAATTTGTTATCTTTAAACTTTAAATCACATAAATTGGGAAATGACACCTATTTATATAGAATTTAAACTTGGGAATTGGAGGTTCCAAATCCAAAGTTTTTTTCCATGTGGAAATCTAAATTTTTATGTTTATGAATCCAAACAAGGGAATTGGTGCATGTCAATTTATAAATTCTGATTTTTACCTAAATTTCAAATTTATTTCTCTCATCCAAACATAGTGTAAAGAAATAACCAAAATAAAACTTATGGGCAATATAGTAACTTGAACATAAAATAATTTTGTAATTTTATACCTCACAGTCAGGTAATCATATCAATTGCCCCAATTCTCTCTCCTATGTTTTTATACCAAATCAAATAAATTTTCAGTGATGAATATTTATTCATAAACAGGTCGCTAAAGATATGAACAGTCTCATCAGCTATGAAAAATTGTTTGAAGGTTGTCATCAAAAAACTTTAGGGCTTGTTTGGTATCCTATTTGAAAATTTTTATCATTCCTCAAAACATTTCTTAAGAACATTCCTTGAAAACAATTTTCTTTAAGATTCAAAAACTTAATTGGTTTGCGATTTAAAAATTTTAAATCTTATGACTTAAACTAGACAAAGATATCTAAAAAGAGCGGGTCACGGGAGAGGGAGAAAGAGGAGAGGGGAGGAAAGAAAGTAAGAGATGATTGAATGAAAGAGAAAGAGAGGATCGAACGAGATAGAGAGGAAGAGGAATTAGAGAACAAAGAGAGCGGATTGGAAGAGAGACGAAAAAGGGAAAAAATAAAAAAAATAAAAAAAGAGGAAAGAGAATGAAGAAATAGAGAGAGAGAGAGAGAGAGAGAGAGGGAGAGAGAGAGAGAGAGAAAGATTTAGAGTGAGAGGGAAGGAGGTGGAGAAAAGAAATGCGTGAGTTTTAAGTTTAAATACTCTAAAAGCTCACTTTTTATGTTTTTAGAGAATATACTATGTTTTTGAGTTAGTTTTGGCTTTAGTTTTTTAAAATAGTCCTACCAAACAAGTTTTTAAGGCCTAAAACTTGAAAATTATTTTTTAGTTTAAAAAGTTGGATTCAAGTAAAGTACCAAACAGCGACCATTATATATTTTCTCTTTGTAAATTTTAGTTTCAAAATTTTAGTAAAATATGCAAGTTATATCAAGCGTTAGACAATGAATCTTTCTTTTATGCTCGAATTTAAATTTTTCTACTTAAAATTGGAATAATTTATAGTAGAATATTGCATTGTGAAGCGAAAAATATTGGAGGGGAGAAATTTAGCATTGTTTCGAATTGCCAGATTATGTTGTAAATTTGTAATATATGGATGGATCATGGAGGAATGTTTTCTTTTTTCAATTAGATAAACTCTAGTTACGTGCTACATACGTTAGTTAGACTAATTAGTTAGAGCAGTGTGTTATTCTAATTGCACCTGACTTCGACTCTTCTCTACATTGATTAGTGTGGTTTAATAGATTTTGTCTTTTTCTATTCAAAAACTCGTCACTTGTTAGTCGTTTGCTTGACCATGAAGGTTTAGATTGGTATCCAGCTATGTGACCACCATGCTTAAAAACTTCTAAGTAACAATGGATTCGTAAGTTGCACCTTTCTCAATGGTGTTAATTATGGTAGCATGTGGTATGTCACATGCCGAGGCCCAACTTGTGGCTTCGTCATGGCGGTTGCAATGCAGTCGTCTAGGCAGTCCACTATTCCGAGGGCTAGGAAAGCTTATAAAGACATTTCAACCTCCTTTGAGCATCATCGTATTATCCAGCACTATGAATTGACTTAAGACATGTCGTGTGGAAATAAATTTTGTAATATTGTTTGCTTAATCTAGGTACCTAAACAAATTAAAATAACATATGAATTTGTATGAAACTTATAACTTAGTCGGTTAAGAGTTACCTTGCACCGAAATCCCGAGTCAACGAAAAGCGAAGGGAAACCTCACAAACATACATGACTTAAATTACAGAGGAGTCATCCTCGCTGCCATTAGAGGCCGACGAACTACTACTACTGGGAATGTAAAGTACAAAAGGAATCTATCACTTTGCCTGTTGTGTTTTATCTGAGTATATATACACAGAGAGTCATTTCATGAAGGCTTTAAATTATGATCAAAGGTGTATAGAACCTTTTTACTTGACCTGCTGCTCGCCGAGGCGCCTCTTCTCTTCCTCAACTTGTTCAAGCAATGCTTCTAACTCTGCTTCTGTTAGGCCTTCTAACCTTTTCTGCATATCCACAATTTCACCCCATTCGGGCGTTAGGGAAACGTATATGGTTAATAGAGAAAGTTAGACACTTCAAACTTCAGTAAAAGTACAGTGAAACCAAAAAATCTAAGAAACTTCCGGGAAGTATGCTGCATAATATCCTGCAAACGTCTCGTGCAACTCACATCAGCTTACTTAACTCTCAATCTCAAAAGCTATCGCAACATAGCAGCATCAATACTGGCCGTTAACAGGAAACTCGTTACCTATGGGGTTCAATGTAACAGGGTTCCGAAACTCATTAATGTTTTATAAAACGAGCGCAATGACATTCTGAGATTCATATAGCCCACCCCACTTAGTAGGATAAGGCTTGGTTGTTGTTGTTGTAGAGAGAGAGAAACAGGTAAAATCAAGAGATGTGAAAAATGCATACAAATTCAAGAATACTACAGAGAAAAAAAAAAATATGGAATTTGGTAGAATTATAATAGATAAGTAGATACAAGAGATTATAATAAAACAGTTACCTCCATGACTTTGCTTTCATAATCGCGTATTTGTTGTGCGTACGTCATTTCCTTATTTGAAACACGAAAAATGTAAGTGGAAATCCATCCAATAGTCAGGCCCAACACCAGCACCAGCTGAACGACGTTTCCTGCTTGTAAAGGATCAACTCCAGCAAACTGCATAAAGCATCATAGCAAGAATAGTTACACGACTGGAAAATGAGCTAGCTAAAAAGGAAAAGGAAGCTATCAAGGATAGAAACTTTATGAAACGATTAAACAAGAGAATAAAGTACCTCTAATCCACTTTTCAAGCCGATCCCGATAGCAGTTACTCCTACTCCAATCAATAAAACATCCTTTCTTGAGTATCCAAATGGTTTCTTCTGTTAAAACACAAAAGAAAAAAGAGATGTAATTAAACATCTTTCTTTCCCTGTCAACATGACCGAGTGTTGAACAAGACTTCACATATCTCTATCCCAAACACCCCAATCCCACTGACTAAAAGGACCGGCTATATGAAATAAACTGGTCATACTAACTCCTTGTGCATACGGGATTAAAATCTGTAATCTATGCGAGAAGCAAGAACCGTATGCCAGACAATCAACCTTCTGCTTACTAAGTAACCAACATTTTCGATTGTTGATACATCTTAGGACATCAGCTGATGCTGACAAGAGATGCCAGTGGGATAAACTTGGATTCATGTTACAGAAAAACAAAATACAGAACAAATCATTGATCAGTAGTTGCTCGTACATGCCTTGGCCTGATCAGAGGAGTCATCTTCGCTTCCATTAGAGTCCGAGGAACTGCTACATCTGGGAATGGTTAAGATCGCCTTTTTTGGAATTATGTGGTTGATGCTATTGGATCCTTCTCCACATAAAAGGGATGTTTCATTTCTATATAAGCTGTGAATCACGACTTTTCCTGACGAATTCAGTATAAACGTAGTAATATCAGCTAAATGTCCGGTTTGTATAAGCAAATGATATAATTTGTACGCAATCCCTTTCAATCAAGTAGAACCCTCCTTGATATCCTAGTATATGAAAACATATGGTAAAAAATAGAACATTCAAATAATGTCACATCTTAAGGTAACATAGGAGTTTCCAAAATGCCTAAATCGGTCAATCATTCAAATAGTGTTGTATGAATAATATAACGCTACTGCGCTTGCCGCTAGGATTCTTACAGCTGACCTCATTTAGTGAGATAAGGCTTCGTTGTTGTTGTATTTGACGAAGCAATAAACAATACGTTCCATAAAGAATCGGTGTCATTCAAATGATAACCAAAAACCCCCCACATTCTATTAGAACTAACCAATACAAGAGCTGTCGATTTCTCCGTAAACCAATGGAAATTTTGCGCAAATACAATCAGAACGGTCTATAAAAACATTTGGACCCTAAAATCGAACGGGAAATCTTTCGGAGCGAACCCAAGTAGCTGAAGCTAAAAAAAAAAAAACATTCAAGAACGGCAAAGCAGCAGCAACTGACCTCTCACCAAACCATGAAAAGCTCTGACCTTCAATTGCATCAATGGCAGAGCCGAAATACCCAGAAGAGAAATTGGTCTTCTTTCACATGCTAAAGTACAACTTGGAGTATTTCCAAGTGGGAGAGATGCCATCCTGCAATTTTCTTCGCATTACCACAAAAAATAAAACAAACCCAACAAAAAATATGGAGAATTATAATTAATTTGAGCAGTAAACGCATGAACTAAACCAAAATCCGATTGCTTTTATTTGTAAATTACGCACATATTTGATGAAACGAGATATCTTTTAGAGAGAGAGAGAGTACCCGGTATAGAGAGAGAGGGAGGGAGCAGCAGAATGTAACTCAAGGATTACCGTTAATGGATTGCAGATGACTGGTATTCAGCGCTTCCCTCCAACCTCATGTCTGATACAGTAATTTTGTCTTTGCAGGGTCCCACCTCTTAAAAGATCAACGACTATTATTTTCAAGGGAGGACGATATTTGGAGTTGCTTAATTTCAACTAGGATTGGATGAGACATAAATACAAAAGTTTAATATATTTACATATTACGTTGCCGAGGCATTTCTATACTAGGTCATCATAAGAAGTATTAAGCTTCCATGTCACCAAGTGTGTGAATTTGTTTGGAGTGCATACCTCTTTCTCTTTTATCTCTAGACTCATATGTGATTGAACACACATTAGATTAAGAGCAATGATTCTTGCACTCTCTTTTTCACTTTATATGCTCAATTATATTTTTCTAGCTATTGAAATTTTTTTTTTTTAACAAACGATATTATTTACACTAAGGTAAAGTACAAAAAATGAAAAAAAAAAAGTGGGAGATGAAATGAGAACTTTCATGTGTATAAGGTTTGTCAAAAAAAAAAAGTGTGTGTGAGAGAAGACGTTTGGAAAGGAAAGGGGTTCTCTCCGGATCTCTTCCATCAAATCCACCCAATCAATCAATCCAAACTCTTAAAATTTAATCCAACGACTAAAAACAGGGGGGCCTTCACGTTGGATCAAATTTCAATAGTCCAGATCGATTGATTAAGTGAATTTGGTGGAAGAGATCCGGAGAGGAACCCTTTCCGTTTGGGAATAAACCAGGTTGTAAGTAAGTCTCTTTCTCACCCGGAGAAAGGACAAGTAATAACTTTCACTTCCCCATGGTATGAGATTGGGCAACACATTAATGCTTTCTTTAGTAAGACAAAGAGTAGGCTACTCCTTGATTAAATAATTACGATATGAAATATTAATCAAGATTTGCTTCATAATCATTTAATTAGCAATCTAATTAAGCAAAAAGCATACAACAAAAAAGGCTGTCCCATTTCTAATATAATCCCTCCAAAAGATTTAGTACAGTTAATTGGTTTTTGGACTCACTTGATACTTGATTAAGCTAATATCTACCAAGATCAAACTGCTATAGTTTAGACCAATTTAGGAAACCAATTAAGCTTAAGGTTTACCAACCAACTAATCATATGGTTGAGATTAGAGGAAAAGGATCCTCGCCGGATATGAATAGTAACTAACGAAAACTGATCGCACAATAGACGATGAATGGATGAGATCATTGGATCCTTAAGATCCCTAGAAAAGAAAAAGGATCCGGCCGATGATCCTTTTCCGAGATTAGATAATAGCTCCAAAGTCATCAGTAACATGTATTGGGGAATATTGTGCATTGCTAGCAGCTAGCTTATCAGCCTTAGCTAGCACTGGATAGTGATTGCATAACTAGCAAAAGATTTGACCTTGTCACCACTTCTCTGCCCAGATATCCCTCTCTCACTTCGTCCAAATATAGGTACACACTACACAGATATATACATTTCTTCCTTCTCTCTCTACTATTATATTTATACGAGTCTCGTTTTCATGGTTACCTAATGATCGAGATTTTGTGGACGTGCATCATTGAATTTGATATCGAGAGTTGAGATTAAACCATTTTAAGCACATCCGTTTACCAATGATGTCAAATTCAAGAATGAGTATCCATGTATTTTTTAGTCACATGTAAACGAACATTTTTAAAATATTTTTTTCTGCTATATATGCGTGTATTTGTATGTACTTGTATACATAGAGTAGGTGAGGCTGTTGCAGGAATAATATCAAAGAAATGGACCAATGGTAGGTAACCATGTCCAATCATTCGTTTGGTGGTGTCCTTAAGTGAGCAGTTTGTACATTACCCAACCAATTGCTCCATGCTTCACCATGTGCCCTCCCTACTGATAAATTCATAAAAATCCTATTGAAATCCTATACATTTAAAATACACTATTGTAATTAGAGAGGACATGCTAGCCTCACTCACCTAGCCACTGACTTTCCATGCTTTTAAAGTATTGATTAGGGTTCGATTCCGTTCGCTGTGAAAAAAAACCACAAAATGATATCAAGTTTTAAAAGTTATTTTTTTGAAAAATTGATATTGGCAAAAACTTATTGATAACAAGTTAATATATTTTGGAGTTCTGTTGTGGATTGGCGGTTGATTGGCCCCTTTTTAGAACAAAATTAAGGAAGTTGATATTGATTGATTGGGAAGTGGTTACCTCCAAGAATTAAGGGTTCTGGTCACCTTTCCGGACCATCTTGTTAACGTCAATGATATTAACACATTATTGATAAATAACATATAAAGAGACCGATTGGGAAGTGGTTATCTAAAAGAATTAAGGGTTCTAATTACCCTTCCGGACCATCTTGTTAACGTCAATTGATATCAACGCATTATATAAAGAGTTTTATAAGGAAGAACCTCCAATACTTCGTAGCCATAGTATTCAAAGTTCACATGGTGGGAGTATGAAACTTGGATGCTTTGTGTGTAACCAAGTGACATGCATCTAGGTAGACGACAAATCCATCTAATTTCTCTCCCATTCTGTCAATCAACCACTATCATATTCATGCATGCACAATTTCATTTATATATACTCGTTCAAACAGACTCTTCCAAAGCCCCATCCATCTCTCCCTCCTTCCTCTCTCTCTCTCTCTCCCCTCCTCCAAAGAGTAGACCTACCATTTGCCTCTTCTGATGGGAAATGCAGCAGTTTCTTGTGCTCCATTGATCATATGCTCAAGCAGTCCAAGAGGAGCAACAAAAGTCTTATTTCTGGATGGAAGAATGGAAATTTTCGCAAGGCAAGTAAAAGCAGCAGAGCTAATGGTAGAGAATCCAGGCCAGTTTTTGTGTGAGTCTACCACCCTCAAAGTTGGCAACAGAATCCACGGCCTCACCGCCGACGAACTGCTCGAAAGACGGCGGTTTTACTTCCTCCTCCCCATGGACCTCCTCTACTCAGTGCTAACACACGAAGAACTCAGCTCCCTAACTTACAGGGCTTCAAAGGCACTCAAGAACAGTAGAGGCTTCAACAATTTCAGCAGGATTTTTCCGGTTTTCGGAGATTTTCACATGTTTAATCTTTCGGAATCCAAGAGATCGGATTGCGATGAAGATCATGTAATTATTAGTTTTAATTCAAGCCATAATTCAGAGCCAGTAGTATTATTGGAGAGGTACTCAAAGCAAAGATCATGGAAGCCTGCGTTAGAAACCATTGATGAAACTCCTTGTACACATTGACTTCCTCTTCATTTGTAATAAATTTTGATTAATTACGTACATTTTGATTTAATTTTTTTTCCAGAATTAAATTTAGAAGTAATTAAATATCAAACTAACTTCATGAGCTAGCTTAAATGCGAGAAAGTTTCGCTTGTATGTTTAGATTTGGTTTTTGATGCATTTGCTAGTTTATGATTCATTTACAAGTGATTTTAAAATGATTAAAAATGTTTTTGTTGAAAATATTTTTGAAATGATTTTAAAATGACTAAAAGTGCTTTTGGTGAAAATATTTTTGAAATCAATCCTTAATAAAAATGCAAGTGAATCATGAAAAAACACTACAAGAAGCACATAACTCTTCAAGGGCTTTTGAAACTCAACAATATTTCCTTTAAAAACGCTTTTAGTTATTTTAAAATTGCTTTCAAACGAATCCTAAGCCATTCTTAGTCGTGTAAGAAAATCTGGATGGTCCATGCAACATCAATTAGCTGTTTATTGTGAATAAAATATGTTAATATATCCAATCAAATATGGTTGGGATTAGATTAGTTGTCTTTCTTTTGCCTTCCACCATTCCTAAAGCTGGAAAGTGATGAAACAAACCAACTAACAAATTAAGAATGCTTTTCGTTTTAGATTCCATGATGGCGACACTGATTAATAATATTGTTTATTAGCAGTATATTATTTACTAAAATATTTTGTAAATTTGATATATGTATTATTAATTTATTAGACTCCTAACGTCTAAATTTTATATAATCAAGAGTGTAAGAAGAAATCATTGTTTATCGCATTGAAATGCTAAAAGCTGCAAAGTATATCTTTTTTCTTTTTTTTTTGTTTTTTTCCAAATGTATTTTTGTTCACCGCATTTAAGTAATGATAATGTTTATCATCATATTTATTATTATTAAATAAGTTTAAATTTTAAAATTTATGTCAATACGTTACGCAGATTTCAAAATTTAAACTCATTTCACGATAATAAATTGAATGGTGAGATTAGTTAGCAAAAATATTCTCTATTTTTTCTAATTAACGGCCACATAAATACTTTGGGTTGAGACTTTTATTCAAACAGTTGTCTGGTTAGGACAAATGTCATATGAAATAAAGAATAGATAGAGTTCGATTAAATCGAAATGTAAAGAGTGTCATGATTTTGAAAGAAATATCGTGGTATGATCGAAACTCAAGACACTCTTACACAAGTTTGTCTTCTATTAGCAGAGGAGATGTTGAGTCCCATAATTCCGTGTGAGATAGGGATACAGGAAGGAACCAAGAAAAGCCAAACCAACCTACCAAAACTGAATATATTACTCTGAAGTGGTGGTTGATTTTTGTGACTTTGTCCAATGTTGACCACAATCTTTTTCTTTACAAGATTAGTTTGAAAATATTGTTGTAAGAAATTTAGCTTCTAAATCGTGACGTGGATGGATAACATAGGATAACAAAAGACAATTAAAAAGAAAAAGGCAATGGCATATGGAGTTTTATCACGGTGACAGCCTGGATATCTCCACAAAGACGTCGATAGCTGACCTATGCAAATGGAGGGAGAATATAAAGAGGGGGGGGACCTTAATCTCCTAAAGCCACTCATAAAGGAATGGTCATTGTTTGCCTTCTCTTTCATAACAAAGTCGTTATTCTCGACTGGCATAGAAGTTTTTCGCGCGGGTCAATCGATTCAGCATTTCAAGTGGTTGCTTCTTTCGATGTCCATGTGCCAATGCCACTTTGGATGACATTGGATTGGTCAAGACACTTGAATCTTAACTAGCTTTGTCCGTGCTGTGGTTTTGCCTATTGCCTTTTTCTTTTTGAACAAACAATAGTGTTATTGAGTTAAAATGT